TCTACCAGTCCCCAGTGGGCACAGTCAGCCAGTCTGGCCTGGCTCGCCCCTTGCTGTGCCCCTGCGCAGGATAAGCTCCTGTCTGGACCTTGCGTAGAGGCCTTTGTGTCAAGCTGTAGGGGTGTTAGTGTGCATGTGGTTTTGCATGTCCTCAGTGTGGCTGTATATGTGTGTAGCATTTGGAGCAAATGAGGAGAAGGGGGTTCAATCTGTGCCTTGGGGAAGTCCACCAACCCCCCCTTGCGCACCCTCACATGTGCCCTATTGAAGCCTAAGGGAGCGTGAACAATCACCTCAGAACCAAAGAGCTAAGTCCCCTTGTTATACAAGCCCAATTTTCAGCACCAGTCCCACCTCTCGCCTCCATCGTGTGGCCCAACCCCAGCTCAGCATCCCAGTCATCAGATGTTGACAAGCTTCATTAAAACGAGCCAGGACCTTTTATTGTCATTATTTAATTAGCCATCCAGTAATAATCTACCATCCAGCACTATTCACACCACCTTCTTCCCTCTCTCGCTTAAATGACAATCCTCATCATCCCTTCTTTTTCTTACTTGCTCAACATCACCACCTTTTCCGGCTGTGTCCACTGACCTCCTCCTCTTTCTTTGCCTTGTCTTTAGTTCCAGTAATTAGCCAGGGAATGAGGGTCGACTTATTGCTGGGCTGCTGGATTATTGGTGCTTGAGACAAGGAGGAGGGGAAGTGCTTTTCTCTGCATGAGGCTTCTTTCTCAGCGCAACACCCAAAGACCTGTGGAGGAAGACAATTGGAAAAGCCAGTTCTACAGTAGCCAGCTCAGCCTTACTGTCCCCGCTACCCACTGAGTTCTGTCTACGTTGGAACTTTAATTATTAACCAGATTTTGAATGTGTGTGCCTACATGTCAGAGGGGTCAGCAGGAATTTGCTCACAGGATGCCAAACAAAAGACAAACTCCAGGCAAATTGTTAACTATGCATGCATTTAGACAGTAAAGTGCCTTAATTTATCTTTTGATTAAAACACTTATTGGGATAAAAGTTACCGTACATCAGTCACAAAAAGACAACATTCTGAACTTTTCTGGCATTATTCTTCTAACTTGTCAGAACTGGTGTTATTAATAGGGACCAAAACCCAAACCTAATATGGTGTATTATCTGTTTTTTTTTTTTTTTGGTTAGGGGTTAGTGTTATAATCAGGCATGTGCTGGTGATGTTTAGGGTTCACTGTTAGGCTTTGAAAATGCCTTGATAAAAATAGAAAGTAGAGATGTGACAGTCGTGAATGATTCACTAACTTATCCGCTAATCCCACTATGGCAAACACAAAAAGGACTATTCCTCAGTCAGTTTTATAAATATTGAGCTAAACTTTGGTGTGCTGGTAGCCAAAAGTAATTTCCAATGTACGCTCTGAACACTAAAAGTTTGTGGAAAATCGTTGGTTAAATTTTGGACAACAACTGTTGGAGTCAACACAGTCCATTTCTAGGGAAACACTGGATGTAATTTATTGAAACCCTCAGAAAATAATAATTGGGTGCACAACTGATTAACTTTTAGACTCAACCCAATTCAAGGTACCTCTCATAATTGATCTAAAAATGATTATGACTAAATTTCACAGATATTGATTTAAAGTTTAGTGTGGTAGTAGACTGGAGCCACTTGTAGCAACTACAGTACTCTGAGCACTAAAGTATCTAATGAGTTTTTCTGAAATTGCATGAGATGGTTTTTTTTTTCCCAAGATTTGACCAAAAATGCTAAACCTATCAGTTTTCAATTATCTTAGTTGAAATCTTCGGATGGAGGTTGGTAGAGTTGTTGTCTTTCAGCGAAAAGGTCGCAGGATCGAATCCCGGCCGGGGGCCTTTCTGGGTGGAGTTTGCATTCATTTATTCATTTATTCATTCAGCCTTTGTTTATAGTTTCATTGAGTCTTGAGGACTCATTGACAAGAGATCTGTTTTTAACAAAGAATGATGACAACAGTAGACAACAATGACAGCAGTAGGCAATAATAAAAGAAAGCATATAAATTGGGGAAAAATAAATGAAAGAAAGTGATATTGTTCTCTCCATGCATGAGTGGGTTTTCTCCAGGTGCTCCGGTTTCCTCATGCAGACCAAAAACATGCATATTAGGCTGATTGGTAACTCTAAATTGTAGGTGAGAATGAGAGAGTGAACGGTTGTTTGTCTTTATAATAATAACAACAATAATAATGTGTTATGTATTGTCATCATTGTATGTTCCCATACAATGGTGAAATTGAGTCTCTGCATTTAACCCATCCACCACGAGATGGAGCAGTGGGCAACCTTTGGAGGTGCCTGGGGAGCAACTGGGGATGGGGTGTCCTGCTCAGAGAGACCACTAGATGTGCAATGACTGGGGATCAAACCTGGGACCTTTGGGTCCCAAATCAGCTGCCCTGCCCCTACACTATCTCGGCACATTTGATCCTGTGATGGACTGGAGATCTGTCCAGGATGCCCCCACAGTGACTGATGAATATGGGCACCAGTGACCTTAATGTCCCAAAAAGGAAGAAGTGGGTAAAGATGATGGATGGATGGATGGATGGATGGATGGATATCTACATATTGTAACATGGCAAGCAATTAGAATGTCTTCAAGGACTATCCTGATGCATGCTCAATCAGGTCCTCAAGGAATGTTTTGTTTTAGTCTTTTTGGGCTCATTCAAAAAAGGTTCAATAAAAAACAACTGGACTTTATTTGTAACAGAAGACATTTTACTTCTCATCCGAGAAGCTTTCTCAATTCAAAGAGCAGTGAGTGAGGGGTTCAGGTTATAAAGCTGAGAGAAGATACACGCATACATATGCAGATTGACCTATCACACCTTAACAGTAGGGGTGTTTGTCTGCAGGGTGGCTGTTGTTCTTTTTGGGCTAATGAATCTACTTTTGTCTTAGGGTTTCAACAAGTACTCTTATTTTAAAAATTTTAATCCCATCTTGGCCAACAGGTTCACAGGAGCTGCACTGTAACTGTGAGTGGACATTCTTTCCTCGTGCACTCAAACAGAAAGGGAGAGAGTGCAGGGAGCCCCTGGCCTCAAGTCCATACCATGCTGGATCGACGCCCTCTAGTGATCACCATAAAACAAAATGACAACCTTGCCAAACTGCAAAATTCATCTAGGACTCCAGCTGCAGTTCAGAAGGTAAACACATCTAAACAGGGTTATTTCCTCTTTGTGATTAATCATAATCACACAAACAGAGTGTTTGCTTTAGCTTTATTAAATATTTCAGAAAGTCTCAGTAGTTGCTTCTATGTTAAAACTCACCCAACTTTAGCAAACGTTGTGGCTATTTAATGTAATATAAATTATTTTGATACAGCTGAAAATGAAATTTGCGTAAATATTTTTCCAAGATGTCATAAAGACGGATCAACATAATTCAAACAGCAGTTGGAAAGTGCAGCATGACTGAATGATTGGGAAGGTGGTTCTCCACGGCCATTTATAGCCCCTAATTATGTGCCTATTTTGTGACCTCTGGGTTCAATGGGCCAATTCCTGTGTGGACCCAAATCCTGATGAACAAAGGTGGAATGTGATGCCAAGCTTTCAAACATTTCCCATCAGCTTCATGGGAAAGTTCAAGACAAGTAGACTCCTTAGTATCACACAACCTCTGCTGAAAATCTTTGGAAAATTGGAAGCTTTTCACACTGTAGTTCTTAGGATTTGTGCATGCGCACACACTAATATACAACACTGGCATTTTAGAACCCAGTTGATCTGTCTGTGTCATTGTGGCTGATATTTTCCACGTTGTAAGTGTGTGTATGTGTGTGGTGGAGGGGTGGTGGGGCTGTCAGTCATAGTGAAAGTGGTCGGGGTGGGCAGGCCCCTCTGACACTTTGTGCAGGCTGAGGAGTGAGGTGGGGGTGGGGGGCATATTTAACTTGGGACTGCGCTCCTCCCGCTGCAGACACACACTCTCACACACAGTGTGCCTATGAGCAAAGAAATGCTCCCGCGCCAAACTCTCTCAGACTCCTGAAGTAGGAGCAACTCAGCTGCAGCTCTTGTTATCAGAAGCAGGCTCCCCCCTGGAACAGCTCGCTCTCCAAAGGCTCCAAATGATCATGGACTGTGTCGTCATCACCACCATGCAGCGACTTTACAACCTGGAGCTGCTCTGAAAGGATTCTGCACTGCTTTGGGGGGAGCAGTTTACAGCTGAAATGCACCGGCGCTGCCAATCTTTGTAAAACTTTTTCCTTCTTTATCCTTAACCAAGGGAGTTCTGTGGAAACTCTACAGACTTTTATTTAAATTGACCTGCGATTTGGATCACCCTCTGGAAAGATAAATGGCTCCTATTTCATGAGCTGATTTTGCACCCATGGACCTTTTCAAGACTCTATTGGAATAAAAGGAGAGACTTTCCCTTCAGCTTCTGCACTGTGCGCGGTGGGACATTGTCAAACCGTGCGTAAAAAGCCGTGCGTAAAAATAACACTGGCCACGGCGACTCTCTGTCTGTTGTCGCTGGACGCGTGACATTTAAAACTCGCTGAAGTCCTCCGGATCTGTCCCGTCTCCTTCCTTCCATGCTGCTCTCTCCTGTCATCCAGTGCAGACGCTTCGTCGTGGCTTCGAGTCTCCGGGGTAACCATGACAACCTAAAGAAACCCAAAGTGAATCCAAGGAGCGGGGTGAGGCAGCAGAGAGCCTGAATAGGCTGGAGTTTTCCCATTTTTTGAGCGTTTTTCTTCTTTAAGGGTTGTTTTTCTTCAGCTCTGACACTTCTTCCAAAGCTGCAGAGCTGCGTCCTTCATGGTAAAAGCTCAAGGAGTTGAAGTGTCATCCAAACCCACAGAGGTCTATTAAAAGTCTCGCCTTGCTTGTGGCTGAACTTCTACTCTTTATGAAGCCTTGCAGACGTCACAGTAACCCTGAAAATAACTGAATATATATATATATATATTTTTAATCCAACTCGAGACAAAAACCAGAGGAGTGATGGGCCTCTCTCAAACGCTGCTCGTTTACGCGCTGGTGTGCGTCCACCTCGGGGTGTCCCAGCACTTCCTGCGCCTTCGCCCGTCGCCCAGCGACCACCTCCCGGTCCCCGAGCTGAAGGAGGACCCCGACCCGGAGTATGACCCGCGGGAGCAGGACTTGGCCGAGAGGACTCTGAGGAAAAAGCTCGGCAGCAACTTTGACCCCAACTTCATGTCCATCAGCCTGCCGGTGGTGAACATCTCCGCGCCAGAAACCCTGGGGAAGCCGGGGCCCATGCCTAACGAGATTAAAAAACTGGACCTCAACGAGACCCCCTACGGGAAGCGGGTAAAAGTGGGCAAGAAGGCCCGCAGGAAATTCCTGCAGCTGCTGTGGACCTACACGTTCTGCCCTGTGGTGTACACCTGGAAGGACCTGGGCGTGAGGTTCTGGCCACGTTACATCAAGGAGGGGAACTGCTTCTCCGAGCGCTCGTGCTCCTTCCCAGAGGGGATGTCCTGCAAACCCGTCAAGTCAGTCACCAAGATCTTCCTGCGGTGGTACTGCCAGGGCTTTCTAAGACAGAAATACTGTACGTGGATACAGGTGCAATACCCGGTCATCTCAGAGTGCAAGTGCTCGTGCTGAAGGAGGAGGCGTGTGAGAGGAGGGGGGATTTCTATTGCACTGTTAACTCTCTACAGAGGTGGGCACCATACAGATCTATTTTTTTATATTATATAACATTTTAAAGTGAAAAAAAAAACAACATTGTACATATTTAAGGAAAAATAATGCAGCTACTTTTTTTTTTCTTCTAAATGAACTTGGACCATATTTTATTCTCAACAACCCAGAACATTTTGTTTGTTTGTTTGTTTGTTTGTTTGTTGTTTTGGGGGTGGTGTGTGAGGGGAGCACTTCACAAGGAAGAGCTTTTTTTATATATATTTTGATGAGACATTAAAGATGGAATTCATAATATGCTACACTTCTCCAAGAGGTGAACTTTTTCTTCTTTTGTTGTTGTTTTCAACTGAACATTGATGCTGTCTGTTGTTTCACTGCAAAGCTGCCTAGAGGTTTTTTTTTTTTTTTTTGTATTATATTAATATCAGTAATAATGAAAAAAGTTGAGGTTAAAGAGTATATATAAAGGGGTGAACTCAGCTTTTTTTGATAGTATTGTAGGAATAAACAAATCTGTACGTTTTATTTATTATTTTAACGATTTGTGAGTATAGAGCATAAGAGAAAGAGAATAGCAGAATATACCATAAAAAATATTGAAGACTTAAATATTTCTAAAGAAAAAAAAGGACAAAAAAATAAATAAATAAATGATTTGAAAACAAAAAGCAAGACATATCAGTGTACATGTTATGGTTACACGTTTTTAGCAATAAAGTCTGTCTTCTCCACGTGCCATGTTGCTTTACAAGGAGTGTCTGTATCCAAGAAGGAAAAAAAACAACATCTTCCTAAAAATCCTGCAGGGGGAGACCTGAGTGTGCGTTTATCTGCTCTCCAATCATTTCCGGATTTATCTGTTGATATAAAAGTGTCATTTCAGTCTGCAGCAGTCCTTAGAACCACGCGAGGACGTGCCAAAGGAAAGTTCACTCCCTCTGTCTACCTCAGCTGGATCCGACGCGTGATGCGTAAAATGTGATCCAAACAGTGTCAAATGATGAAACGAGGGGTGGGTGGGAAGCGTCCCGGGGTCTGGAAGCTCCACACAAGTTCCACTGAGGTATTTGTACAGAGGTGGACTGGAGCAGACCGGCGCCTCTCCAAGTCTGACCGCCCCTGAGACAGACAGAAAAACAATAACAACAAAAAAAAAAGTCAAGCAAGAAAGAAAAGAGGAAAACAAAGCCCATGAAAACAAATGCCCAGCTGTTTCTCAGCTTAGCAAAGCAATTAATTCCGAGAGCGTGACGCGCGTAAAACCAACCAGAGATGGACAATTACGCGCGCTGCAGACGCGCAAATGACGCCCCGCGGAATCAAAGTAAACAGAGCTTCTTTTTGTAATGGTGTTTATGTTCTTCTTTAAACGCGATCAACGACTTCAGCAGAGCTGTGACTGCACGTGTGAGAGCTGCAGCTGCTTTGTGAAGTCGCTCCAACGAGCGCATCTCGTGCGCCTTAACAGTGAGCTGATTCTTCTTGCGTGCAGAGGAGGATTTGACACTTGCAGCACGTTTATTGTGACGCAACAACCGCCGAGTGTGTGTGTGAGAGAGATGGTGGGGGGTGGGGGGGTTGCTTTTCCTTACTGTCAGCTTCTTTCTTGATGATGTCTCGGGGTTTTTTAGAAACTGCGTCTCTGACTCGACGGCGCCACTCAGCCGCCCCCTCTCGACTGCGCAGAATGAGGCACTTTGGGAAACAGTAACCCTTTCAGGATCTGCCCGGAGAGTATTTTAGACGCGTGTGAAAGCCAATACGCCGCCCATGGCTTCAGCCTCATAGGTGCATGCGCACCTTTTAGGAGCTCTTGCCAGCCAGACGGTTTCATCGCCTGGTTCTAAAAGATGTGCTCCAGTCTGGCTCTGAATCATCACTTCATTATGTTAAGTCTGAAGAATTTACAAACACCTGACAGATTATTATTATTATTATTTTTTTTTTTTTTAATTTCAGCAAAATGTTATCTCGGAGTTTTGTTGAGTGCATGACATTATAAGGTTGTGAAAAACATAAGAAAATCAAATTATTATTCCTTGAAAGAATGCATATCACCCTCCACCTCACATGACAGTTTTAAACAAGATTTCAAATAATCTGTTTCTTGGAGTGTGTGTTGCAGAAGACATCATCAATCATTAAACAGTAGCTCAATTTCTGTAAAACTGACTGTTATAGGCATTTTGTGTTTAAGTTTGATCAGCTGTGGCAGCCATCTTGAATTAGATTAACTGTAAAGCTCAGTTATAGATGTCCATTCAATGACTATGAGAGATTCTTTAAAATTTGTCCACTGGTTCATGAGACATTTTGCTAACAGAGTTCACTTTAACAGTTAATGCCAAAGTTTTAAGCAAAGTTCTCACCTCATCTGTCATTGCTCAGAATATACTGTTATTATATACTCTAATCTTCTAATCACACTAAATTTTAGCTCAATGTCTATAAAAGTGACTACAATATAGTCATTTTTGTGTTTGATAAGATTGATTAACTGTGGCAGCCATCTTTAAGCTGCTCAACTCTAAAAGTTAAACAGTTGTAGAAGTGCATTAATTTCTAAGAGTTTCATTAAAATCTACCCACTGGTTTATTCGATATTTTGCCAACAGACAGGCAAGCGCACACAAAAACACATTTGATCATCAGCTTTAGAGGTGGCAGGCAATAATGATTAAAATTTTATGACTCAATATTTCTATAAGCGCACATTTTAACCCTGGTTGTTTACTGGAAGCCCATGTGCTATTTCACATCCACCATACATCAACTAAAGTAACCAAATCCTAAAAATGGGAACAGAAACATGCTGTATGGTTGTATATTAAATACAATGTGGTCTTTTTTTTTCTCTCACCAATGGAAAAATGCTTGTTACATGAGTAACCTCGCTGTTCAGATTGAAAGCAAAACAAGTTTATGATTAACTATACGCCTGTTCATTGGCATGTTGCAAAATGTCTGCTAAGCCTGATGTAAATCTGCAGCTCTTGAGATTGTCATGTTTGACACGAAATGCTGTGGCAAAAAAGGAGTGTGGGAGTGGGGCGGGGGGGGCAACCAATCAGTGTTGCACAGCATCCATAAAGATGTCAAGACCCGGGTGGCCTTTAGCCTGTCAGACGCTCAGTGTTGTTATAGTCTGTCAGAGTCAGAGTCAGAGTCAGAGTTTCTTTATTGTCATTCGCACCTCATGTGGTACATGTGGTGGAGCGAAATTATGTACACAGGGTCCCAGTTACATCCAACAATAAAATGTATAAGAAAAACAGTGATAACATCTAAGATATGAACTAAGAAAAACATCAACTAAATATACACTAAGCACTCATAACATAAAACATTGAACATCACCACAAACATGAACATGAGTCTGTGAGCAGATGTGCACGCATGAACACATCAACATTGAAACAGATCAGCAGCAACATGAAACAGATCAGCAGCAACATGATATGGTTTTTCACAGTGATTATTCTGGTTAGTGATTCATGAGTCTAACAGCCTCAGGGTAGAAGCTGTTCCTCAGTCTAGTGGTTCTACACTTAATGCTCCTTAACCTCCTTCCTGAGGGGAGTGGGGCAAAAAGTGTGTGTGCTGGGTGGGTGGGGTCCTTCATGATGCAGGTGGCCCTCTTCCTGCATCTGGAGGTGTAGATGTCTGTGATGGTGGGGAGACTGACTCCAACAGATTTCTGTGCAGCCTTCACCACTCTCTGCAAAGCTTTTCTTTCTGCAGCTGTGCAGCCTCCATGCCACACATTGATGCTCGAGCACAGGATGCTCTCCACTGTCACAGCTTGTCTGCAGTTTCATCACCATAGAAACAGCCCTACAATAATAAGTACGGTTCATAAACATCCACACACTCCAGCGAGCGAAAGATAAGGCTGTAACAGGGGGGTTAAATAAAGACCTGGAGACAATTAGGATGGGGTTGTGAGGAAAAGATGTTGAGGCCCTGTCTGTTGATGATTGCCAATTATTATGATGGATTGGAGTCAGACTGAGAGTGACTGGGGGTGCAGTGTGTTTGTGTGCGGGCAGGGAATTGGGTCTGCATGGGCTTTCACTTAAACCATAAAGACACACTTAATGGACGTGTCTTTGATTAAAAACAAAGGGAGAGTGCAAGCAATTGTGCACGCTGACACACAACTTTAGATAGTTTAGTGGGCTGATGGAGACAGACAGAGACAAAGACAAGGGTCTGTGGCTGGAAGTAAGACCCAAACCTCACATTTGTAAAAGCCAAAGAGTCAGCACTGGTGAGGTTATT